GCCATTCAGAGAGGGGCTTTCTGGGCACAAAGTGAGCTATAAGGGCTGGTAAGTTTTCTGTTTCAACCAAGACATAACTGGTTTTTACTAAAACTACTCATTTGATTTTTTGTTGAAAGCATGGATTTGACCTTCTAATAAATATCAGTTTGTCTAATATCTGGGAAGATGAAGATTTACTCAAATGACTGTCTAACTTCCTATGGGCAGCAGGGAGGGAATGTGGGGAAAATGCTAGCAGAATTGCTTGCCACATCTACTTATTCAGATTAATAAACAGAATGGAGACGGAGTATTAATAACTTGTTGAAGGTCACCAGCGACTTGGTGGCAGAGTTTAGAGCAGTATTCAAGTCTCCCAGATTCCAGCACATGCCAAAATGCTTTCCTGCATTTCTGATTCATGTCAAACTTTGCTAAATAAATGCAAATGGATAATTTCAGACATAATTATTATCTGAGTCTCCAGTATATAAATGGAGTCCCTATGGATTTACCATTAACTGGTCATAACAGAGTCCTTAACATAGTTTAGTATTTGCCCTTGATAGTGGTGCCATGTATGGATTAGCTAATACACCTGTGGAGAAGGCCATGCCCAAACACGTGTTGAAGCCGGTGATGGCCAGGATGTCATCAATGCTGCCAGCTGCCATTAGCAAGGTCGGGACACCCTTTTCAACCCCATACCCTCCTGCTTGTAGGATCAGCATAGAAGGGACCACAACAGCAGGAGAGACAGCCCCTAGGACAAAACTGCACACAAACAATGTCATTCATCCCGTCTTAAAAATAAAATACTCAGCTGGAAAATCCTCCATGGCCCTTTCATCTTTAAGCAATATAGATACAGAATTTGTCCCATTGTGTATTTACTTTCACAGCCCCCTGAATATCAAGACAAATCTGTATAAATCTACAGTCCACTTCTGTCACCTACCCAAATGAGTGACATTAAAACAAGGGGCTTGACAGAATCAGAGAAAAAGCACCTGCATAGTCCTGTCTTTTGTTTCACCCCTCCCACAGATATTGTAGCACATGTAGAGGACAGATCATATACTAACACTTGAATTTAATGAAACAACTGTTCTGCACGTGGCTCTTTAAGGGAAAATTCTGCACCCCAGGATTTCCATATCTTAACAGTGAACCTGAGAACTTTTTGTTTGTTTGTTCTCATAGGCTAGAACTCACTTGTCTATGAATACCTCCCCTTCAAAACCAGCTGCAGAGCCTGGCCCAGCTTTCACAGCATGTTACCACAGCAAGACACACAAGTGACTGGTACTGAACCTGTGTCCACTGCCTGGCATTAATGATGCACCAGCTAGTATTAAGCCATGTTGATTTTTTATAGAGGAGAAAAGAGAATAAATTACCCTAATATAAATCCCCATTGCCATGGCAAATGCATGAGTAAATGGGCAAAAACAGCAGCTGCACATGTCTCAGAGAGGCAGGGCCCGAAAGAAAGCCTTAAACAGACTGCCTTTAACTTCTTCAGAGCCTGAAATATAAACATGTTTACATATTAGTAACATAGTCCCTCAATTAAATACAGAGAAACACAGCTACAGCTCTGCTATGGTTTATTACTGAAGTCCCAGTGACATGGCATCATATAGTACAGTCTAATTTAAAAGCTAGGACTTAGGAGATTTTAGTGGGTTGAGCCCATCTTTGATCTAGTCTTAGCTTTGGACTCCTTGCGTCTGAAAATGACCACACCACAGAGGGAAAAGAACCCAAATAGGGAACTTGACAGCCTAACTGTGTGTAAAAATGAACCCGAACACAGTGTTTTAAACGCTTCTTAAAAGAGTAGGATGCTACATTGGAAAACAAATATTTTAGGAAATAACAATAGAAATGTTTCAAACTGAGATTTTTTTCTGGAACTTACTATGAGTTTCCTCAGGAAAAATCTAATATATTATTTTGGACACTTCCTATGCAGCCTTTACCTTGATTAGGAAAAATCCCTGAGTTTAGGTAGACTTAGCTAACACGTGCAAGTTATGCCTGGCCTACACTCTACCTCTGTTCGAGCTTAGATACAGGGCAACCTTGTACAGGGAAGCTTGAATATACAGTAGTTGTAAAGTAGGCACAAGCCCCCTTTTTTCTTCCCTCCTTTATTTGCATTGAGGTTATCAAGTTTTGCAGTGGCTAAGGGAGGGATCATAAAAATATCATGGAATTTATTATTTACCAGGACTGAGGTCATCTGTCTTTTAATCTAGGGCAACTGGACTCTTCTTTACAATTTATATCCTCACATAAAACACACACAGATTTTTTTAAAATTATTTCTTGCATGGCTTCCTTTCACCAGAGTGTCTTATCAGAAAAGGGTTTCTCTTCTCTTCCAGGTTCTGGATTCCTGGATTGATTATTTTTAGGGCTGTCAAGCAATTAAAAAAATTAATCGCGATTAATCGTGCTGTTAAACAATAATAAGACTCCTGCTGGCCCCGGGCCTCTGCGTTGCGCTGCCCCTTTGAAATGCTGCCACTGCGTTTCAAAGGGGCAGTGCTACAGGAAGCTGGGGTTAGCTGGGGACTCCAGCTGAGCCTGGGCTCCCATGGCACTGCCCCTTTGAAATGCCTCCGTGGTGTTTCAAAGGGGCAGCACCAGTGAAATGCCTGTGATTAATGCATTAAAAAATTAATGCATTAATTGTGCTCTGCGTTAATCACAGGCATTAATACACAGCCCTAACTTTTTTACCTCTTTCTCCCTTTGAATGATCTCTCAGCAAGACAATAAATTTTATAGAGAAACTTACTAAACATATGGCACAGTTTACACTACTTGAGAAATCAAGATAAAGGGCATATAACAACTGAGATGTCTGGCTCATAAATGAGAAATTTATTTATTTACTTAGTGGAATAAAAAATCACAAAAGGGACTGTGCTCACCAATCCTATGTATCTAGCTGACAGGTTATAGATATTCAGAATATTCTACCTTCACTGATAGAAGAATAATATCTTACTGTATTTTTAACCACTCCTAATGGAAACAAGGCTATAAAATTCAAAACTTATGAGCTCTAACAGTTCACATAGTATTAATTTAAAGAAAACAGCTGATCAAATCTTCTGATGCTGTTAATGGGTTGTTTGCATGTTTTTACACCAGAAACATTAGCTAATGTACCTTTGGATCAAGGCCAAGCCCAGCTCGGACCAATATAATGGAAAGGGCAATATTTCTCAGCACTGCAGACCAATTTGTATTTATCTTGACCATGTCACTGATGAATGGGGTATTTCGGATGAGAAAACCAGCAAGCAACATCCCTAAAAAGACAGAAGCCAAGAGAGATTGCAACTGAAAAATTAGAGGACAGGAAGCAAATTAAAAACTGAGCAAGACATTCCAAGGCTGAGTTATTGAGAATGATGTGGTTTGACTGACCCATCTCAAAGTGGTGGTGAATTCAGCACAGTTGGTGAAAAGTTGGCTAATAGGTCTTATATTAAATGTAAAATTGTCAGCAACAGTTTTTTCACACTCTGACCGGCAAAAGCTTTAATGACAAAAGTACTAGTGTAGACACATATTAGGCATGTGAGTGAAGTAGACAGAAGTAGGATGTGTCTACACTACCACTTATGTGGCAAAACGCACATCGCTCAGAAGCATGAAAAAAACCATCCCCGAGTGACATAAATTTTGCCAGCTTACGTGGCAGTGTGCACAGATCTCCTGCCAATACAGCCACTGTTACTTGTTGGGGTGGTTTAAATATGTCGATAGGAGGGCTGCATCAGCACACCTGTGCTGCTGTAGGTCTATACTGCAGACATAGCTCTTGGCAAGTACTCAACAGCCAGCAGCGTCCACTGTTCTCAGCCTAAATGGTGGTGATTGGGTGCTATCTGAGCTCCTTTGAAAATCTGGATATATATATACCTCCAGTGAGATGGCTTTGCAATTATAACAGATAGGTATTTTTCGGCACAGGCCTGCTATGCCCTATCTCAGCGCCTGAACCTTCAAATATTTAATTCTGGCACAGAGCTTAAAATTTATCTTATGAAATACAAAACCATAACAAGATTTTGTTTTTAGTCAATACAGTGCTCATGTTGCTCACAGATTGCGGCCTTGGCTATGGCTTTTATTTGACCTGGAACACTTCTACCTGGTTGGTGCTATTTATTCTTCTTCCCACGCCCTCTAAGTGAAACAAAGGGAGCACCATGATTAATTTGTGATTCACTCTGACAATTACAGAAGCCAATGGGCTGGAACACTGGCCATAGTCTCTCCCCATTGCTTTGGCCATGTTATATGGCTTGCATAACTATAGGGTTGATTGCTCCCTCTGAAAGCCATCTCCATTGTAATCCTCTTCTCTAATCTATGCAGGGTGGCATAGAGACCCCCCTCCTCCCTTCATAGCACACAGATGCTCTGCAATATAACCACATGTAGCTGATTTGCTGGTGAATCCTCCACAGAACCGCACTGTTAACATTAAGAAGTGGGAGGGCCACCTGCATTAAACTGAATTCCTTCCAAAAGGGGTAAATCAAGAGGCAAGGATGTCCATGAGTTAATATAAGTCCTTGTATTTCACTACCATTTTTCGTGTGAAAACAAAAAATATTTCATATTCCCTTCTCCCTCCTTGAAATCTAGATTTTTCCCCCCAGATTTTCCTCAAATACTAGGAATCTTCAGTATGAAGATTATCAAAAGCATCTCACAGGCATGTGCTATCCTTCTTATGTTTTTGTTCTTCAGCATTACCCATTTGATGCCTAAGTCATAACTTTTGAGCAAAGGAGTAATTTACAAAAGTAAGAAGAATCAATATGGTCAGAAACAGAAGCTCAAACTACCCTTAGAAATAAAAAGGGGTTAACGTTGGATGACTTTCTTTTTCTTATTCACCTGAATCTGTTCCTATTTATGAAACCAGATTCATGTAGAACAAATTCTGAACTGATACATCAGACTAATTTATTATTTTCATAATCTCAGGGGGCCAGATTCTGACCTGCTGCTTAATGATTCTCTGCAAGCATTCCCATTTTCATGTCAGGGTAGCAAGAGAACTGATCAGAAAAACACTGATGGAATGTTTTCCAATGGAAAATGCACTTCCATCGAAACTGAAACACTTCATGCTATTGGGTTGAGTTCACTAACATTTAGAAAAATGAAAAAAAATCAGACAACACTAATAAAACATCCCATTTCACAACATCACATTTTTACATTTTTAGAATGACACGTTTCAATTTTTTATTTTGAAACTATATCTGGTTTTGAAGTTTTTTGTTATTCTAAAATCTCTCTCTCTCTCTCTCTCTCTAAAAAAAGTTCGTCCTGCCACGCAACAGGTTGATGTCATCAGGTTCTCTGGCCATGAAATTGGCCAGAGAAAAGGGGATTGGTAAGCATAGCGAGGATGGGACACAGCACACTATTATTTTATATAAAAGAAAAAAGTCATAACATAGAAAGAAAACGTTTTGATCAATACAAAAAGGAATGTTTTGGGAATTCTTCTTCATGGTGAATTTGGAACAGGCTGGGTTTCATTATTATTCAAAACTAAAACAAAATTCTGAAGTTGTTCATTGACATGGGATTGTTGAGTCATAGGTAGAATAATCTGAGCCCCAGTCAGCAATCATGATGACAAACTGGAGCCAAGATAGACAGAAAGGAGAACAAACAGACTGCTTGGGAAGAGAGATTTTTAAAGTGCTGGAAACTTCCTTTTCAATCATTTCCATAGTCTGAATGAGATACACACAAGACAGCTCAATAGTAATAATCCTTATTATAAATGCGTTATTAGCCGACGACCTAGAGGTGTGGTTCTTGCTTTAAGTGCCAGAGATCCTAGATTCAAATCCTAGGGAAGTCACAGTGGCAGGAATGAAAGTTATAGAAGAGATATTAAATCTGGAACATTAGGGCTTAAAGCCAATCTCTCTCAGGTTACGTCTAAACTACAAGCCTCTTTCGAAAGAGGCTTTTTCAAAAGAATCTTTCGAAAAAGAGCGTCTAGACTACAAGCAGATTTTTTACAAAGTGAGCCGCTTTTTTGAAAGGGAGTCTAGACGCTCTTTTGAAAAAGCACAGTTTGCATTCAATAGTACCTTTTTTCAAAAGAGTACTTTAGAAAAAAGGTGTTATTCCTCGTAAAATGAGGTTTACCACGATCGAAAAAACAGCCACGTTCTTTCGATTTACTTTCAAAAGAACACAGCTGCAGTCTAGCGGGACACTGGACTACATGGATTGAGCCTGTATGGGAACTGTGATGTTCCTAAGCAAATCAATGCAAGAATAAAAAGAGGAAGAATATATCGTACAATACTTACCAAGAAGGGGAGGCAAAGGAGGCAGTGTTGGTATTTTAATGAGCCCAAAAATTTTACCTCCAATGACAGCAAAAAAGAAGAGAAACAAAATTCCAAATACATTCCCTCCTGGAAGACACTCACTGCCTGTGATGGACCAGACCACAGCCCAGACAAGAATTACTGTTGCAACTAGAACAAGACAGGAAAAATGAATTTAATCTCCTCTAAGGAATGGCTTAGTTCAATTTAGATTTACATTTGCTTGATTTTAGAAATAAAAAATTACTTTTTATGTCAGTTTAGCTACAACAATCTTTGATGTTCTTTGAGCTGGAGCTCTAATTTTGTTGATGCTAAATTCTGTAGTAAGTCACAACAGTGTATGTATGCACTTAGGGCCTTTCATTTAGTTTTTATTTTATTTAATTTCCAGGAATTTATCAGTTTATTATCACAAGATCAGGTGAAAAAAATCAGTGCAAAAGGTATTACTTGTTATGGGTTAATTTCAGGGGTTTATTTAGGTGGACAGAGACAGGAGAAAAGTATTCAGCAGATTAATGTGGTTTGCTGCAGAACTCAAAATACAATCCCACCTCTGAGTTTAAAAAATCAATATATCTTTAATCCCCAAATAAAACTTTTCATTTGAATAAACAATGTATTGCTGTAGGCTTAGAAATATTAGCCTATAAATATTTACATTTAATAATTGGGCTACCCCGTTAACTTTGTCCTTTTTTTCTGTTTTCATTTTTAATAACTTTTGGATACTTCCTTCTGTTCTGAAATGTATCCTGATACAGATTTTCATTTCTGTCCCACTTTAGGTGCAAAATCTTTAAAGCATTATCTGCTAACAGCTTGAAATGCATACATGCTAGGCATGCAATTCATCAGTACGTTCAGATGCACATACACTTCACAGCTTGTGTGCGTGCTTGCCTGCTTTTTTATTGTATCTTCTAATTTGGACTAAGCCATAGCTTTCCTTCAACAGGCAGGTTTGCATATTAATGGGCTACTGTATCATGGGAATACATAGATCTCACACAATGAATTGTATTTTCCTAATAAAACAAGTTATTTTTATATATTTGAATGATACAAAAGTAGGGTGAAAATCAAACCTGAATAGTATTTTTTGTAAAATCTAGAGAATTTTTCATAAAAATCATTTTAAAGTGAAAATGAAGAGTCTGCAAGGTGCTATGGGAGCATCTGTCTCAGATCCAGAGAAACACTTGAGTACGTGTTTATATTTAAGCAGTTAAATAATCCTTTTAACACACAGCTTGCCTGTATTGTGAAGTCTTCTGCCATTTGAGGAATGTACCAATCTCTTAGGCTACATCTACACTGGCACCCTTTTCCGGAAATGCTTAAAACGGAACAGTTTTCTGTTATAAGTATTTCCGGAAAAAGCGCGTCTACATTGGCAGGATGCTTTTCCGGAAAAGCACTTTTTCTGGAAAAGCATCTGTGCCAATATAGATGCGCTTTTCCGGAAAAAAGCCCCGATCGTCATTTTCGCAATCAGGGTTTTTTTGCGGAAAAGAAATTTGGGCTGTCTACACTGGCCCTTTTCCAGAACAGTTTTCCGGAAAAGGACTTTTGCCCAAATGGGAGCAGCATAGTTTTTCCGGAAAAGCACTGACAATTTTACAGTAGATCGTCACTGCTTTTCCGGAAAAGCAAGCGGCCAGTGTAGACAGCTGGCAAGTTATTCCGGAAAAGCGGCTGCTTTTCTGGAATAAGTGGCCCAGTGTAGACACAGCCTTAGTGTACATTCTGGCACGGTCTATTGCTGTTAGAGCAGAGCTCAAATTTCATTTTGAAAGAATAAAAAAATTGCAGCTAGGTGGATATAAGCCCTGGATTCTTCCACTATGAAAACAATTCCCAGTGTATGCACCTTTGTTAGGGATCTCCGCACAACAGACTGCAGAGCAGAGAGTTTCCTCTGACACATCAGAGAATCAGGGGAAATTACAGATATTTCATAATTTAAAGGTAACTTGTTCTTCCTGGCTCATACTTCTGGTCCTGCAATCAGCTAGGGAGAGCAAACGAAGATGGACACAAACAGAGGAAAAATCCCAGGATGATCCACCCCTCTTGCACCACCTTCTCACAACCCTAACAGGAGAGTTACTTTATTTTAAAGTCAGAGTTTCTTCTGCCGGTCTCAGGCTGCTGGAGGAAGAATCAGAGGGGTAACAAATATACTAGCTTTTGAGTTCAGAGTGGCAGAGCAGAGGATGGAAGGCTCTCACGTATACTTTAAGGCTGCGTCTAGACTGGCAAGTTTTTCCGCAAAAGCAACCACTTTTGCGGAAAAACTTGCCAGCTGTCTACACTGTCCGCTTTGAATTTGCGCAAGAACACTGACGATCTAATGTAAGATTGTCAGTGTTCTTCCACAAATACAATGACTCTTCTGTTCGGGAAAAAGCCGTCTTGCACAAATGCTTTTACGCAAGAGGGCCAGTGTAGACAGCTGAGTACCGTTTTGTGCAAAAAAATCCTGATGGCGAAAATGGCGATCGGGGCTTTCTTGAGCAAAACCACGTCTAGATTGGCACGGACGCTTTTCTGCAAAAAGTGCTTTTGCGCAAAAGCGTTCATGCCAATCTAGACGCTCTTTTCCACAAATGCTTTTAACGGAAAAACTTTTAGCCTAAGAGTGTCTTCACGTGGGCAACTTTGAATGCTTGGCCAGCCAGGAGTTTTTAATCTTAATGTGAACTTCCATAACAGGTCAACTTTTTAACTGAATGGGTCATTCTGCCTTTGGCCAGGATCCTAGCTTGCAAACTCTTTGACATGTAGCACTACACTGAGACCTAAGTAACAAAAGAAGGTACTTCTGCACGCTAGTGTATTCATGACCTGGTTTCAACACAAGCCATTTATTTGGCCAGAAATTTAATTATTTTTAATCTTCTTTACAGTTCACTTGTGGGTGAGAGCATTCAAACTGGCCGAGGAGTTCATGCTTCTGAACAGAACAATTTCTAATATGAAGGAAAGCCAGCTATTAAGACAAGAGGAGCAGGGCAAGGGGTAAAGTAAGAGATGAGAAATTCAAGTCAGTCCTTGTTCTACATAAAAACTCTTCTATCAGTGCACCTAAAGATTTGACTGACGGGTCAAAAGGAACAGTTTCTGAGTGTTTCTTTGCTGTTTAAAGAAAAGCTGTCAGCTACCACATCTAGCCAACTCAATGCTGGCATGTCTACTCTGATGTCAAAGAATTAAACATTTTGCATCTTCTGTCCCTTACATACCATTTGTTACTGTTCGGGCAAGAAGGCCTTGAGGAGGACAAGCAAATATTCGCCTCAGTTTCCTTGAAGGCTTTGATTCTGTCAGCGGTTCCTGAAGTTGCCTCGCACAGTTGTGCAACAGAGCAGTTTCTTCCGTTTGTACATTTCCGTCTGTGCCTTTGCAGTCCACGACAGCTACCTCCTGGGTTAAAAACAATTGTTAATGCAATTTAACAGCTGGAAACGTACAGTAACAGGCAGCAGCTGCTGCCAAGCAAACTTCCTGTGGTCCACAGAGAATTTCTGCAGTAATCTTAATTGTGTGGCTATTTGTAATATTTACATTTATTCACCTGACATTTCAAACAGTAGTCAGGACCACTTATTTCAGGCAGGTAAACCCACAAAGGAAACAATTTATAGAATATCCGTGAATGTAAGAAACCAAACCGAGGGGGTACAAGTTCCCCTTTTAAAACTAATTTCCTTCAATATGTTGATGAATCTGGAGAAAGGAGAGCTGCCCTGGATAACCCTGTACTATGAGAGGCCTGAATACAAATACAAATGCAATTACCTGAGTTTTATGATTCATGGGAATAGTGCCATTTTCCACCTCTATGGATAGCTCTGGCTCTTCACCCTCCTCCACAATATCCTCCTTCGCCATGTTGACAAACCTACTAGAAAAAACAACAACAGTGGTTTTGAAGAACAAGCAGAAGCAAAACTAGATCTTGTATATTTGCCTGTTTCAGGGCCTTTTCTCCCCCACTTGAATCAATCAATCAATCAATCAATCAATCAATCAATCAATCAATCAATCAATCATTTCCTTCCTTAAAAAAGAAATCCTCCTGGATACCAGCAAATGTACATTACATATTAAAAAATACAAAATGAAGCTTTACTGTACATGTGCATCTAATTTATACCTGTTCATTCTTTAAAACAAAAAACCCTACGTTAGAAGAACAGCATTGAGATTGCCATGTCAGGAACGCAGAAGTGGAAAAAGTCATAACTATATTTGTCTGTGCAATCTCAAGTCATTCCCCTGGAGCATATGATTCTAATAAGTATTTTTTCCCCCTCGCAAAAATATTAAGAGGAAGAGAATCAGATTTTCCCGTGTCTTATCTGGATTTCTGGTTCCGCATGAATCACGAACATATGATGTGGGAGGCAAATGGAACGTTCAGAAAGTTAAAACCAAGCAACAAACAATTTTTAATAATGCAAATGTACAGATGGCATTTTCCCACAGCCTAAACATTGGCCAAAATGAGGTTGTATTTCAAGAGGGTAGTAAAAGGTGCTTTCGCTAACTATTAAGTTCCTACTCCAAACTGTGTCAGAGCTATTTTAAAAAAAAGTCCTTAAGAATGGCAAAACCCCATTTGAATTAAGCTTTCAAGTATTTCTTGATCCCTTTTTACTGTCCTCATCACATGTGGTATATGAGCATCTCAGAACAGTTACCTAATTACAAAAGAGCAGCCTGAAGGATTCCTTCATTTTCAGCAGCGTTCATTTTATTAAGCATGTCATCGCATGCACCTCTCAGAATTGCCACCAGTCAACAGGTTGGCACAGTTAACTTTTGCGTGGGCGGAACATTCCATTAGAATGTTCTTCTTCTTCAAAACAAACAACAGAGAGAGGGCACGGACTCCGATCAGCGCAACGAGAGATCTCCCAGCGCTTTCCACAAGGACAGATTATTCAAAACAATCTTGTCTGCTCCGTGGGTACCTTGACCCAATGAGGAGGAGCTGGGAAGGTGTCTATGGATCATTGATGGAATGCAGTGGGTATCGTCACCCTGCTCCGTCTCCTTGCAGCCGGTCTGTCAGTGCTGCTCTTTACTCACTTGCGAGGAATCCCAGTTCAGCAAAGCAGCACACTCTCTCTCTTCTCAGAGGCGGTCTCCAGGGTTGTTTGATTCCCTGCAATCCAATAGAAGGAGACAAACTCAACGCAGCATAAAAGTCTGCTGGATTGCACTGCATTTTAGGCTAAAGGTGGGAACGTGATGAAGCATGGCTCTCCAAGGCCACCCTATCTGAAACCCAACTCCTGTCAGAAGACCTTTTCTCATGATCTCCAGAGGCGGGGTGGGCTATAATTTTAGAAGGGGGAACCACTTCATACATTTTTTTAAAGTGGCCATGGGCCACCCTGGAAGAGGTGGGGCAAAGACACTTCTATGCTCCTCCACCCATAGACCCTGATGAGCCTGGAGGTGGGTGGAATGCATTGCCCTCTGTGCCTAGAGAGAACCGCCAGCTGTTCTGAACAGTTGATGGTTCCTTCTAGGCGCCTGTGCCCCTGGTGGTGGGAGGAGACTTCGTGCACTCTCCTGTCCCCAGGTCTTGATTGACCTGGGGGTGGGGGTGCGTCAGGATGGCCATGGGCCAGATCAACCCGCTTGGTGGGCTGGATTCAGCCCGCAGACCCTTTTTGGCTCACCCTGTCCTGAGATCTCTTCCAACCCTATAATTCTAGGAAATGAGAGACCTATCATGGAGCTCTGGTTCCCTCTTTTTTACACCCTTCTCCCTGGCAAGGTTCTGTGGGCAGAAGTCTCTTTCTACTTAGCCCTTATATATGAATGTAATAAGTAAAAATCCAATCCCAATCCTGTGGAAATTAGTGAAAGATATCAGTGCATTCACTGGAAGCAAAATCAGGATCTAATGCACATTTACCCTATTTTCTGCTATCGAAACCAATGGGCGTTCCACACATATCTGACATTGTTTTCTGGCACACTGAAACTGTACACACTCTCTGATAACTGGTACTTTCTGCACGTCAGCCCTTTGGGTGTGAATGGCAGTATCCAGAAATCTATCAAATAATTTTTGTCTGAATTCCTGCTTCAGTTGAAGTGCTCCCAACTCAAACTCAGAGTGGGCTGGAGTGCAGTCCTTTGAGCCAAGAATTGGCCTTCTTCAAGATACAATAAGTTTGTAACTCCCAGAATTATCCATCAACCTCTCATTTGTAATGTTGACACACCTGGAAAGGACTGGCATAGCGAACAAAGGCAGATTGTTCCATTGCTTTATTAAAAAACTGGGTGTTTGTGTTGAACTAGTCAAATAGGAAACCTATTTTAAAGGTGAGAAAGACATCCCTGAAAATATATACCATTTTTACATGTTCTACAATAAGACAATGTTTTTGCTCCATCTCTGTTTTCCCTTTTGTTTTCATATTAACCCCATCAAGCCATTTTGTTTTAGTTTACGATGCCAGCTTTCTCCGCTATCAGCATTTGTACCACTGTTCGTAGACCTGCGTTGTTGTGGACTTTTAATAAAGCCACTGTGTGTATAATTGATGTTTTTGTTTTTATTCTTAGATATATTGGATGAAATATTACTCCCCCTCCATTGAAGTAAACAGCAAAACTTCCATTAATTTAAATGGTATTAGGATTTAATCCACTATTTTTAATGTTAAATTACAGACTATGAAGGTATAGATTTTTGGAAAGAGATTAACTTTACCAATCCCTCACGTCTTCTCTTTTTAGATAATTTGCACCATTATTTTTTTCCATTTTTTCAGTGATGGAATTTACTAATGTTGCTATTTTCTCCTCAGGCTACTTAAAGACTCTGAATTCAAAGACAAAAGACAGCACTGGATCTGTAATTAAGGTCTCAACCCAGCAAGGTGAGTTGTATACATGGCATCCTGACTCCAGAACAATTTGCTGCACTTTGCAGGATCAGGACTAAAGTTACTATTGCACAATACTAACGAATTGTCCTACCTAACATCAGGACCTCAGGACAGCGTCCAACAGACAGACGTCCACCTCACTACGCCTCTGCTTTACAACATGCCATGCGGCCAGCGATCTCAGGGGAGAAGCCGCGGATTGGTGGGACAAGGCGACTCCACGCTGGAAGGGAGACACAATGGACAGAGGTCCTCAACCTCAGTGCAGCCTCCAGTAACATGAAGAATAAGCCACCCGCTCGCACTGAGGCGCAAAGCCGAAGGGGGCTTCTTACATTCAGTCCTAGGCAAGCTGAACGAAGGCGCCCACCCGAGTCAGAAATGGCAGAAGCCACGCACATCATCTGGGCCTGCCTTTGGCAGCAGCACCCGTCTGCAACGCACGGGAGACCAGAGCAGCTGTGCAAACCCAGCATTGCTCTGGGCAGGGATGGAG